CAGGTGGCGCAGCAGTTGAGCGCTGGGCGGCAAAGCTGCCCAGCCTCTGCAGCACGGTTTGATCCCTGACTGCTGGCGAGGGTTCCACATGGCGCGACAGACCTCTCCTGCTGTGCCCGCTGCTCCCCTCAGCAATTTCGTCAGTCTGCCTGTTCTGTTCCCCACTCTGGCCCTGGTGAATTCTCTCACCCTCCCACACTTCTGACTGTACCCAGTGCTGGAAGGAAGGAAGGAAGGAAAGAAGGAAGAAGGGAGGGAGGGAGGGAGGAATTTGCAGAGAAAGTGCTCTACCAGAGAGAGAGAGAGAGAGAGAGAGAGAGAGAGAGAGAGAGAGAGATATGCATTATGCAGTAGTTATGGAAGTTGAGAAATCCCAAGTTCTGTAGTTGGCAAGCTGGGACACAAGAGAACTGAAGTGTAGTTCCAGACCAGATTCAAAGACCTGAGAACCAAGAGATATTTCCAGTCCAAATCAAAAGGCTGGAAAAGACCAATGTTCAAGGCAGTCAGACAGAAGGAGTTACCACTTTTTGAAGTGATTAGTTGAGGCCCACCCACATTAAGGAGAGCAATCTGCTTTATTCAGATAGCAAATTAAAATGTTAGTCTTATCCTCACAGTCACATCCAGAATAATGTTTGACCAAATGTCTGGACACTGTTCCCAAGTGAAGTTAATACATAAAAATAACCATTGCAAGTACACAAAGGCATACAGATAGAACAAACTTTATTGATATGTAAAAGTAGAATATTATGAAAGAAAAGCAATACATATAATAATTATGAAAGTATAGGGAAAAGATATGAGTCAGTCAGGTTTTAAAAACCATACTAAAGTAAGATAAAAGTAAATTATCATAGATCATAGAACAAGAATTGTGGGCATTGTATCTGAAGAAGATCATTTTAACACTTAAATCTGGGATTTAAGTCTAGAAAAAATAAAAGTTAGAAATCAATAAGCAGAAAATCCCAAAGGCCCAGATTAGAATGAATACTGTAGAGGCAGAGAGCCAGGCCTTGAGCAGATTAAAACAAATACCAAAATCAACAGAACTTTGTAAAAATTTAAAAAGTAGGGAGAAAAATGAGTTTGACTACTAGTGTCATTAATTGTATGAGAAAATGAGAACAGATGACATGTAAGTTTAAGTGTAACTTTGAATGATCAATCTCCAAATAAAATATCATGAAGTATTTTAAATGTCCATAATGAGTTTTAATGTGCTAGGAGAAAATTTTATCTTATCAGAAAAACTTAAGCTGTAGCAAAGGAATGCCTTTCATGGTAGAATAAAGTCTGTTAGTAAAATATTTTACTAATTTCCCAATAAATATAAGATTATTGTTACAGTACTTTTATCCATATGGTTAAGAAAATTAACTGTATATTCATTCAACTAGTGATTAGTCTTTTTTAAATGTTTTAAATTAGCCTACTATTCCTCTGCTCTCATTTCTTGCATGTTTTATAATGCACTAAAATATATGCCACTTTAATTATAATAAAAATTATAGAGTAGATGCTTATTTAATGTTATATTGATTACTGCCAGAAATATTTGACTTATCATTGTGAATAATGAATTAGAAGTTCCATTTATCTTCAAGATTTAAGGAATTGAGGAATTTTTTATACTAAGAAAGAACTTTTTTTTTTGAACACTGATGGTTTCAGGAATATATTGTTACATTAGTTTCCTGGCTCTAGTATTGTTTTCAGGTTCAATGCCCTAACCCTGAGCTCAGCGTCCTGTAGAACCAAACTGCCAAGCTTCTATTTTTTAAGCTTGACTTGTTAAAAAAGAAGTTTCTTTAATCTTCTGGTAGGCACAGACAAAAATTCCTAGAATTAAGCCAATGAGGAGTATATATTCATACATATTTAGTGTGATCACTATAATTAACTAATTAGATTGCTCCCCTCACTTGGTAGAGAAGCAGCAGCCAGAGTTTGGGAGAGGTAATTTTGGAATATTGGATAGATTAGAGACAGTCAGACTTGATGAAGTAACACGATATTTATTTCTAGTCCCCAAATGACACTCTTTATGGGAGTCCAAGGCATACTAGATAGAGCTCGCAGCTATAATCTTATTAAGAATAGTAAGGTTAGGGGAATTAGTAAATCAGGTAGATGAAAACTAAAGATAAGGTTTTCCTCCTAATTATGATAGCATAGTTATAAATTCCAGATTCATATAGTAGTGTGTACTGGTTTTGAAAAGGTGAGCCAAGGGCAATAGGTGCCATGGTGGTGGATTCACTGTGGTGATATATATCTGAGATGTGATCTTATGCCTCTGAATCACACAGTGTGAATCAATGTCACCTTAATAAAATAAGATAAAATGTCTAATTCTTCTATATCTTTATTTACCTTTTTTTTTGTTTTCCTGGCTAATATTTTTGTAAATGGACATTATTTTTAATTTTAAATCTATTTATATATATTTTACATCATTGTTCATTTTTGTACAGTGTTTGCTTTCTCCTCTCAAGTGTAATCCCAGTAAAATTCCTACCACCAATTCAGCAGTGCACCATCACCATAAATGCTGTTCCTTCCCGTTTTGATCCCTCTCCCTCCTGTCCCTGCAGAATGCCTCTGATTTATAGTTGCCTATTAATTTTGGCTTTTTATTTTTTTTTCCTGATCTCTTATTTGGTTCCCCTATATTCCTCCTATAAGTGAAACGATCCGATTTTTTCCGACTTATTCACTGAGCATAATCCCTTCCAACTCCATCCAAGCTGCTGCAAATGGCATGAGTTTATCTTTTTTGATTGCTGAATAGTATTCCATTTTACACACACACACACACACACACACACACACACACACACACATATACATATACCCTACATCTTCTTGATCCAGTCATCTATTTTTGAGCATTTGGGTTGTTTCAGTATCTCACCTATTGTAAATAGTGCTATAGTAAACATAGGGTGCATGGATCTTTTTGAATTAATGTTTTTGTGTCCTTTGGGTAGATTCCTAGGAGTGGAATTGCTGGATCATATGATAGCTCCATTTTCAGTAGTCTGAGGAACCTCCACACAGCTTTCCATAGTGGTTGGACCAGTTTGCACTCCCACCAGCAGTGTAGGAGAGTTCCTTTTTCTCCACATCCCCACTGACACTTCTTGTTTCCTGGTGTTTTCAATGTGTGCTATTCTCACTGGTGTAAGGTGGTATCTCATTGTGGTTTTGATTTGCATTTACTTGATTATAAGTGATGATGAATATTTTGTCATATCTGTTGGGCATTGTAAATGGACATTTTAAAGAGTGTTTAAAATCTGGATGTATGTAGTGTGGATAAATTGATTCATTGGGAAAATCATTTTGGGTTATGTATTTGTGTGTGTGTGTTCTAACCCTTTCTTAACATGAGTACAGTTATTTATATTTATATAGTATTTTACAGTTTCTAAAACACCATTTTTGCTTTAAAGAAAATACAAAATTATTTGATACCACTGCCTTCTGATTCTCTGTCCAAACAAATGAATGTATACCCATATTCTTCTCCACACTGATTGAGTGTATTTTAAGCTGTGATAGAAAGGTTTTTATTTGTAAAAGCATATGTACACATATTTTCCTGACACTTGCACATTTTAGAAAGATATGTTCAAACTTTTATTGCTAAAAACTTTTAGTTTCTTTTTGGGCAGATACATCATCTTTTAAAATGCCTTTCCCCCAAGATTGCATTTTAAATGGTTCACAGTTAAATTTAAATTTCTATATTTAGGTAGAATTATGTTTATATGCCAGCCACTAGTATCCAGGAAATTTGGTGGTAAGGCTGACACATAGGGAGTTTATAGTCTATTTTGTAGTCTGTGTATTTAGACAAGATTTGGAGCTTACTTTGCAAAACATTTCAACAGAATTTCTTCAGTACAAATGAAGTATTTGATTTCTCATAATTGTTAAGATAACAGTATGTCACTCTTAAAAGATTAGTTCTCAGGAATATATGTTAGTTGTGTTCCCTTCAAAGAAAGATGTATTCTGGACCAGCTTTTATGTGTAAATACTTTTATAATATTTGAATAGAATTGGTTCGGTACAATCACTATGGTTTGATCAAATTTGGAAGAAGTTACAGGCGCATTTTTGTAGTGTTTTCTTCAGCATCTTTATTTTTTTCAGCTGGACATATTTTATGTTCTTTCCAACTAATCAAAATAAGAAACTGATTTTGCCTGTGCCAAAAAATAGAACTATCATTTTTCACATTCTTTAATTTTCCAGGTCATTTTAAGTAAGATTGTGTTTCTGGGACTCCTGAATTCCAAAAAACTCTCAACTTTGTAGATATAAGGGCCCAGATGAGCATTTCAGGGGGAATCTAACTTTTCATGCAGTATGTTTTGTGTTGTGCATTCCAGATACAGTTAACTTTTTGTGTGCATGTGATTACTGTGGAAAGAAATTAATGCAGTCCAGTATTATGATTTATGGACTGAATCCTTTGCCCACTGAAGACTTGCCAAAAATAAAACTATTTTTTTCCCTTTGGATATTAGAAACAGCTACTGTTTTTGTTGATCTTTTAAAGTTCTGAATGGGCCTATTTCAAATCATACCAGCATGGGAGCTCAGATTAATAATATACTTATTCAACTAGTGATACTGAGTGAAACCATTGCTCACATGGATATGAGGATAAAATTTCATAAAATTATTTTCAGGTGCATTAATGCATTTCTGGAAGCTGCACATGATTTTTCTTTTGCATGAAAGAAATCAAGGATTTCTGTTTATTGTATCAGTTACAGGTGGGCTTATAAGTTAATTTAATTGCCTTTTTTTATACCTTAAAACACAAGACATTTTGCTTTTAAAGGCAGTAATGTGATTGCTGGATTATTCCCAAAGGTTTTTAACTCTTAGTAGATTTATCTCTCTTGAGACATCATGACTGTAGTATATTTAATTTAGACTATTTAGAAAAATTCCTAAATTTCCTTTGTTGTTAGTTGCAGCAAGCTGCTGAAGTTTCTCAGCTTCGTGGAGCAAGAGTAATCTCAGCTGAAGATCTTCTGTTTTTGATGCGCAAAGATAAGGTAATAAAAAACAATTTCCTTTTATTAAAATACCCTGCTTGGTGCTTACTTACACTTATATAAGGAAACTATGCATCCTTATTAAATAATGTTCAGTTTAGAGTTATAATTGTTAAACTGATGTCTTAGTCTTCAGAGTTTACACAACAAAATAATTCTCTACATGAAAATACTTAGTTTTACATAGGCAAGAAGACTTACCTAAGCCTGTACTAACAACTAATTCTAACTTACCCTTACTTATATATTTAGATATTTTTATTGCTATATAATAGTTGTTAAATATTGACTGTGCTGTGTTCTGACAAATGGGGTATAATTGAGTAGCATATTTAATGTTCTTCTGATTTTATACATGCTTACTTTACTGTCTTTCATAGAGTATACTTTTAACTTGAAATGCAGTCTATTCTTTGACACCCATTTATAAAAAAACCAAGGTGAAAATTTCATTAGCATAACTATATACCGGAATGTCTCCTTTTTGTAAAAAGATTCACATTTCTGAGTTGTTTTTTTTTCCTTTCTATCTTTGTGTTGTATCCATATGAGAAGATGGCTGTTAGCTCCTTTCTTACTCCTTGAACTCTGGCATTAAAACATTTGAGCTGGTATTTACAGGTCCAATTTTGTCATAACTATCTTCCATGACTAGATAGTTCAAAATATTTTATAATATTTGACACTTTTTTTTTTTAAGGATTTGAAGATTTATTTATTTATTTATACAAGCACTGGGTACAGTCAGAAGCGCGGGAGGGTGAGAGAATTTACCAGAGCCAGAACGGGGAGCAGAGCAGGCAGAAGGACCGAAGTACACTGCTGAGGGGAGCAGCGGGCGGCAGGAGAGGTCTGCGTGCCAGTGGGACGCTCCTCCAGTGGCTGGGGAGCAGCCAGGGATCCAACCGGCGCTGCGGGCTGCAGGCAGCTTCGCAACCCAGCGCTCAACCGCTTCGCCACCGGGGAGGCCCAATATTTGACACATTTTTAATCAATGTAATATGTAAAGTACACTAACTGAATATCTGCAGTGTGCTATGATCAGTGCTAACCCATGTGAACAAGGTGTGCTTAGTCCCAATGTTCGATTTTTCATTTGTCCATTGTTCCTCCTGGACTTTTACATTAACCCACTTCTCTTCTATCATTTTTGTATACTTGCACTCTGTTTCTTCTCAGAGGGCATCCATCTGACCTTTTAGATAACCTTATTAACTTTCTTTCTGAGGTGGTTCATTATGGTTGACTTAGGTTTTATAAGTTTGGATCAAGTGTATTTTTCTTATGCCATGAGATTCAGAATTCTATAAATTACACCTTGACCATTCTGCCATTACATTTTTATAATTTTTTAATACATTAACTCTTAGATTATATGAAGAAAACAGATTGTAAGACAAAAAAAGAAATGTCTTCACTATAAAAAAATGCTGTGGTCTGGTTTAAGAGATCAGTATGATTTAATTAAATAAGTATTTTAAGACCCACAGAATTTTAAGGTACATTTAGATGGAGAGACTGAGCATTTGTTGAAGTAGAAGTTTCTAAAGTGAGACAGTCCATTTATAGAATGGACCAAATATAAAGGAACTAATTAATTAGTGTACTGGTTTAGAAAACAAGGCAAAATATGTTAAGTATAGTGGCAATGGAAGTGGATATAAAAAAAAAGAATTAGAGAGATAGTGAAGAATAAGTAGAGTATGAAGGATTTGGTTGCTTCATTGTACTTGGAGGACTAGAGGGAATAGGTACTAGGAAGAAGTGAATACCCTGAGTCAAGATTCCTTAGGAAGATATCTGGAGAACAATGAAGTTGGTAATAGTATTTTACAGAATATGTCCAATATCTAATTTTCTTTTTCACTTATAGGGGAAGAGGTTAACACAAAGAATTGTCTACACTGATACTTTTCCTCCTTTTTGGAAGTCCATTCTAACTATGGACGATAAAGATTTAAAAATCATATTGAAAATTTAAGAACACACACTAACTGACCAGACCCTTCTAGAAGAACTTGTAACTAGAGTCTTTATAGTAACTGAACTATATGATAGACCCCAGTATGCTCCTTTTTCTCTGAAAAATAATAATTTTCTTTATATGCTGACTTGTCCCAAATATAATTTAGTTTACATAGTTATAATATGAAACAAAATAAAATTTTAAGAATTGAATAAAATCAAAGCAAAGAAAAAATGGTAGCAAAACCTGCCTATACATATAGGTGTATGTTTTTTCTCTTAATAACTCCATTTTATATTAAAAGCAATATTTACTGACTGTTTACTATGTTTTATATACTGCACCAAGCAACTTTACTCTTTCTCTCATTCTTCACAAAAATCCAGTAGGGTAGGTACTTTTCATACTATATAAATAGAAAAACTGAAGTTCAAAGATTATGTTCTACTTCTGAGCCTGCTAAGCTGTATTAGTAAAGTTATTTTTAACCTCAGTTTTCCTATATGAGGAAATATATTGAAAATATCAAATAAAATGCATGTGAAAGAGCCTTGTATTTGCAGTCTTTCAGCTGTCATTAGGAATCTTAAACTGAACGTCAGGAACCAGTAAAAACACATTCTGTGTATAAGCACAAAACAAATTACAATGGTTGCTTTTAAAGTAAAACAGTATCATGGTCCTCTAATAAATCTATAGACAACTATCATTAAGGCCCAACTATCATTTGTTAGCTTTGAGTTTCATAAAAATGTGCATCTATCTCAGATTACAGGATATTTTCTAGAAATATAAAGCATAAACTAATTCTTCTAAGTAAAAGATTTTCAGAAAACATAACCAACAAAAAGAGAGTACTTGGCTTTTTAAAGCAGTTGTTACAAAATCCTTGTCTAGATGCTTATAAATCATCTTTAAAAGTAACAGTTGATCTTGAATGTGTACAGAATTCCATAACATCACTATAGTGATTAGTATGAAGATTATGACAGTTATCACACAACTTCAGAAAGAACTTAAAGCATCTTCTAAGAATATAAAATAAAAATAACCATGACTTGGGAGTATCTGAGTATTACAAATCGAAAGTTCCTTTAAAAATACTTGTGTTTTATTTTTTATGTTTAATTTGATGACTATATTTTTTATTTCACAATATTATGCTGAGAATTTTGTATTTCCCCCAATGATCCTAATGTTCAAATTTATTATATTTAGTAATAAAAGTGGTCTAATCAGTAAAGTGAATATATATATGGTTTCTTAATATTTATTCTATATTTTTAATAGAAAAAACTTAGAAGACTCCTAAAATACATGTTTTTCCGAGACTACAAATCAAAAATTGTCAAAGGCATAGATGAAGATGATCTTCTGGAAGGTAACCAAAACACCAAACTAAAAACAAAACGATGTATCTGTTGGGTGACATACTTATGAAATGTCAGTGTATGTATTCCCATCAAAGTAGACTATATTTCTGTTTAATAATGTAGTGTAGAAATTACCAAAATTTATTTAATTGGCAGTAGAATCTTGTACTTTTCTATTTATGTGACTTCACAGCAGTCTGAATTTTCAGTTCTTTCTTTTAATAATATGTCATGCTTTGCATCAGGATATCATGAAATTAAGAAAATTGCATTGATTCAAATACAATTGAGTAAAGCAAGCATTTTCTGTCATGGATGTAGGGATCCAGAACTATTATAATATGTATTAAGTTGACATGTGGGTTTTTGTTAATTTGCTAAAAAAAGTAACTGCTATGTTTTATGGTAAAAGTCACCTAGTATTAGTAAGTGGTTTCCATGCTACTTGAAATCTAACAGAAAACTTAACACAAAATGGAAAATTTTCCTTATCTGATTTTTCAAATCAATCCTCCATTTTAGAATATTTAGAGAAAACATTAATGTTGCAAAATTAAGCAGTTCTAAGGTAAAGGTAGATAAGTGCTGAAAATATTTATTGAATCATAATAAATATTTTACAATTTTAGAAATAGTTCATATATTTTGTATTGAATATAGTCTTTGCATAGTAGCCATTCGTTGCTAATAGATTCACTGATAAAGTAACTAAACAAACCTGCTAAATTAAGGAGACTTCCAGAAAACAATTCAAAACCAACTAAATAGTTAACAAAGTTTGAAGAGATCTAGTTACTTTCTTTTACTCCTAAACAAATTATCCAGTGAAATAGCTATATCAAAAATATTCCTGATCAAATCTTTTATTCAGTGTTGTCTATTTAATATTTCTGTAATTCTCAGAATTTAAATACTAAGAAATAGTCCTCCAAATGAATTTTAAAATGCTTCCTTTTGTGGAGAGCATAATGTATACAAACTTTGAGCACAATAGACCTCAATTCTAATCAGTCCTGATTCTCTGCTTTTTCTGTGTGTGCTTGTGAGTGTCAGTTTTTTCATTTGTATATCAGAAATTATACTCATTTACCATGTGGAGTTCTTTGTCATGGAGTAAATGATAGCTATGAACACCATGCTTTGGACACCAAGAAGTTCAGTTACTCTAGTGTGCTAACACCATTTTACCAGTTTGATACCCCCTCTTCATTTATTGCAAATGTCTGCTCTTCATCTTCATTTAAATATTTAAATTTTTATTTTATATAAAGTTTTTATGTGATTATAAAGTTGATGTAATTGTAAAATAAACTGACTACTAAGATAGGACTTATAGAATGGCCATGTGAGGAATATAGTAGACTCTCCAGTGAAACACCTCTACCTCTAACTGATGTAAATTTTTTAAAATGATAAAGTCTCTAAAAGTTGCCCTAAGTGCATACATCAAATGGAGAGATAAAGTCACTCTACTAAATTTCATTAAGAGCAGTGAGAGTTTATTGCATTTACACCATGATTCCCATCACCTTTCTCATCCTCTCTTTCCCTGCCACCCCAGCTCAATATGATAGAATGTCTGAGCTTCTATTATACTCAGGGTAAGTTATGTTTTTTGGTAAGATGACTAAAAACAAGGGGTACCTATTCCTCCAGCTTCCAGTGTAAGGACAACAGTTTCATCTTAGAATGGGCAGGATTTCAGCATCTCTCATCTCTTCCAGCTCTATGTAGAACAGAATCTGTTCTACACAGTCACAGTTGAAAGAGACTAGAACTTCCATACATTCTCTATTCACGGGGTAGAAGTTCTACCCCAGACATGACAGTGTGAGAATAGTGGGCCTTGATTGCCTACCCCTAACTTGCTCACAAAGGAAGAAAAAGCCCAGAAGTCAGGAGGCTAGTATTCCTGTCCAGCTACCTACTCTTAGATCTAGAAAAGTGTTTCCAGGAAACGCTGATTATTTTTCTTGCCCCCAGTTACCATTACAGTGGTACAAAGTTTCAACCCAAAGGGAGAGGCAAGCCTTAATAACAGAGATCTGCAGCAATCCCTATGGAGACTATTTCGAACAGAACATGTTGAAAATTCATACTTAATAGTGTTATAAAAAATAGTAATTAAGAAAAGGATAGGTGCTCTATGATACTAGTAACAGTAAACAAAACAGTAGGTTAACTGAAAGTTTAAAGGAAGAAACAAAGGAAAGAGACAGATAAGAGTCTTTCTGAGGTCAGAGAAAAACTTAAAGGCCAGCAATACCTTGTCTCTGCAAATGATCCTGACATTATTGAGATCTATCTGTAGATCTTTTTTTTTTTTTATGCCAAAGAATAATATCAAAAACAATAGCAGTCAGCCAGCAATTAGTGGAAGCTAATAGCTATGTGTGGCTGTCTATAGCGTCAAACTATTCAGAAACTTAATGGAGAGTCCAGGAAAGTAGCAAAGAGAACATGACAAAGATATAGTCATCTCTGGGGAATAGAGAGACTGTTGCATGTTCAAGACTGTGTCCTCAGGAGAGCAACATTTAAAGCTCACACTATGAGGGAAAAAGACTTTATTAAATGACAAATCACTAAACAAAGAAACAACCATGCAAGCAAGAAAAGACAGCAATCCTTAAGAAGGAAAGGGAACCATGAAGGCATCAAACTAGAAATAAACCATAAAAAGAAGGCAAGGAACTTTCCTACCTCATGGAGATTAAAAACCACACTACTGGAAGACCATTGGACTAATGAGGAGATCAAAGAAGAAATTAAAAAATTTTTTGAATTGAACGACAAGGAGGACACTAATATCCTAAATGTATGGGATGCAGCAAAAGCAGTAATAAGAGGAAAATATATAGTAATAGAAGCTCACATCAAGAAACAAGAAAGAACGCAAAGAAACAACCTCATCTCGAAGCTCAAAGATCTAGAAAAAGAACAACAAAAAAACCCCAAAACCAGTAGAAGAAAAGAAATAATAAAAACCAAAGCAGAAATAAATGAAATTGAAACTAAAAAAACAATCCAAAAGATCAATGAAACCAAGAGCTGGTTTTTTGAAAAAATCAATAAAATAGACAAACCCCTAGCCAGGCTCACAAAGGAAAAAAGGGAGAAAGCACAAATAAACAGGATCATCAATGAAAGAGGAGAAATCACAACGGACACAGCAGAAATCAAAAGAATAATCAGTAACTACTATGAACAGTTATATGGAAACAAGTTTAACAATCTAGAGGAGATGGACAAATTCCTACAACTCTACAATCACCCAAAGCTAGATAAAGAAGAAATAGAACACCTAAACAGACCAATTACAATTAGCGAAATTGAAATGGTAATCAAAAACCTCCCCAAAAACAAAAGCCCAGGACCTGATGGATTTACAAATGAATTCTACCAAACATTCAGAGACGAATTAGTGCCTATCCTTCACAAACTTTTCCAAAAAATTGAGAAGGAAGGGACAATACCAAACACGTTTTATGAAGCCAACATTACACTAATACCAAAACCGAACAAGGACAACACAAAAAAGGAAAACTACAGGCCAATCTCCCTAATGAACACTGATGCAAAAATCCTCAATAAAATTTTAGCTATCAGAATCCAACAATGTATCCATAAGATAATTCACCACGACCAAGTTGGATTCATTCCAGGGGCACAAGGATGGTTTAACATCCGAAAATCAATCAACGTTATCCAACACATCAACAAAAAGAAATATAAAAACCATATGATAATATCAATAGATGCTGAGAAAGCTTTCGACAAAGTGCAACACCCATTCATGATAAAAGCCCTTGAAATTCTGGGGATACAAGGAACATACCTCAACATCATAAAGGCCATCTATGACAAGCCAACAGCCAGTATCATTCTCAATGGTGAAAAGCTGAAAGCAATTCCATTAAGATCTGGAACAAGACAAGGATGTCCACTCTCACCATTGCTTTTCAATATAATACTGGAAGTCCTAGCCAGGGCAATAAGACAAGAGAAAGACATCCAAGGAATCCAAATAGGAAAAGAAGAAGTCAAACTATCACTATTTGCAGACGATATGATATTATACATAGAGAACCCCAAAAACTCCACAGAAAAGCTAATTCTACTCATCAATCAGTTCAGTAAAGTGGCAGGATACAAAATCAACACGCAAAAGTCAGTAGCCTTCCTATACACAAACAATAAATCTGAAGAAGAAGAAATCAAAAAGACCATCCCTTTTGTTATTGAAACAAAAAAAATCAAATATTTGGGAATAAATCTAACAAAAGAGGTAAAGGACCTATACAAAGAAAACTATAAAACACTGTTAAAAGAAATAGAAGAAGACACAAAGAAATGGAGAGACATCCCCTGCTCATGGATTGGAAGAATAAACATTATTAAAATGTCCATCCTACCAAAAGCAATATACAGATTCAATGCTATTCCAATCAAAATTTCAATGTCATTCTTCAAAGAAATAGAACAATTATTGATGAAATTCATATGGAATCACCAAAAACCCCGAATAGCCAAAGCTCTCCTGAAAAAAAAAGAAGGGAATGGAGGCATCAGACTCCCAGACTTCAAACTATACTACAAAGCCATAATCATCAAAACTGCATGGTATTGGAACAAGAACAGACATACAGACCAATGGAATCGAATAGAAAATCCAGAAATAAACCCACAGATTTATGGTCAACTAATCTTTGACAAAGGAGCAAAGAATATGCATTGGAGCAAAGAAAGTTTGTTCAATAAATGGTGCTGGGAAAACTGGGTCGCTACATGCAAAAGAATGAAGCTTGACCACTACCTCACACCATACACAAAAATCAACTCAAAATGGATTAAAGAACTAGACATAAGACCTGAAACCATAAAATATATAGAAGGAAATATAGGCGAAACACTACGTGATTTGCACATCAAAGACATCTTTACAGACACATCACCCAAAGCAGTGATAGTGAAGGCAAAGATAAACAGCTGGGACTACATCAAATTAAAGAGCTTTTGCACAGCAAAAGAGACAATAACAAAAACAAAGAGAAACCCCACCAACTGGGAGAACATTTTGCACCCAACACTAATGATAAAGGACTGATCACAAAAATCTGCAAAGAGCTGATGAGACTCAACAACAACAAAGAAAATAATCCAGTCAAAAAATGGGCAGAAGAGCTTAAAAGAAACTTCTCTGAAGAGGAAATGCAAATGGCCAACAGGCATATGAAAAAATGTTCAACATCACTTGTCATCAGGGAAATGCAAATCAAAACTACCATGAGATACCATCTTACACCAGTGAGAATGGCACATATTAAAAAAACTAGCAACAACAAATGTTGGCGAGGGTGTGGAGAAAAAGGAACTCTTGTGCACTGTTGGTGGGAGTGCAAACTGGTCCAACCACTGTGGAAAGCTGTATGGAGATTTCTGGACCTACTAAACATAGAGCTTCCATATGATCCAGCAATTCCACTCCTAGGTATTTACCCAAAGGACACAGAAACATCAATTCCAAAGAACACCTGCACCCCTATGTTTATAGCAGCACTGTTTACAATAGCTAAGCTTTGGAAACAACCCAAATGCCCAAAAATAGATGACTGGATCAAGAAGATGTGGTACATATATACCATGGAATATTACTCAGCATTCAAAAAAGATAAACACATGCAATTTGCAGCAACATGGATGGCGCTGGAAGGGATCATGCTCAGCGAAATAAGCCAAAAAGAAAAAGAAAAATACCGGATGGTCTCACTCATAGCAGGAATCTAGAAAACTTAAATAAGGGACCAGGAAAATGAATAACTATAAGAAAGTGAAAATCAAAATCAACAAAAAACTATGAACCAGAGACACTTTTAGGGGGCGGGGGTGGGAGGGGAGGGATTGGGGTCAGAATGGGGGGGCTGCAATTGTATGGGGAATATAACAATAAAATTTATTAAAAAAAAAAAAAAAAAAAAAAAGAAGGAAAGGGAAGTGTTATCTAAACTTTCTACAGTATGTTACCTAAAATGTCTGTTCTTCAACAATAAAATGCTAGACATGCAAATAAACAGGTGTGATCCATAAAAAGGAAAAAAATACATCACACACTCACTTTGAGGGGACTCAGATTTTGAACTTAGCATACAAAAACTTGAAAGTAGATATTTCTAAATAGGTTCTGTGAACTAAAAGAAACCATGTTTAAAGGACAAAAAATAAAAAAGTGTTGATTACAGTGTCTCTCAAAATATCAGTGCAGAGATGGAAATTACTAAAAAGCAAAAAAGCAAATGGAAATTCTGGAGTTAAAAAGTTCAGTGACTGTGATGAAAAATTCATTGGAGGGACAATATTAGCTTTGAACTGGAAGAAGAAAGAATTTGTAAACTTGAAAAAAATTTTTAAATATTATGCGATCTGAAGAACAAAGAGAAAGAAGAATGAAGAAAAATTAACAAAGCTTCAGAAAAACATAAGGTACCATTAAGTGAGTCAACATATGCTTAATAGGAGTACCAGAAAGAGAGGAAGAAAAAAAAGTAGCAGAAAAAAATATTCAAATAAAATTTCCAAACTTTGATGAAAATTATCAATCTACACATCCAAGTAATTAGGATAAACAATTAGAGATCCACACTCAAGTACATTATAGTAAACATGTTGAAAGCCAAAAGAAAAAAATAGTAAAAACTGCAAGAGAATAATATTGAATCAACCAAGTTGCATCAGAAATGATTAGAATGCATACGCCACAAAAATAATCAAAAAGTATCTGTAAAGGTAATTACGTAGGTAAATATAAGAGAAAATATAAGTGCACATTTGTTTTCTTTCCTCTTTTAACTGATTTTAGAAGAATTGTTTAAGACAATTTATACATTATAATGTTAGGTCTCTAGAGGCATATATGTTTACTATATAAACTTACTGTATATTTGACAGTAACAGCATAAGTGAGGTGTTTGAGAACAAAGCTGTACTTGAGGAGCTTTGACACAGATGGTAACTACAATTACAAGAAAAATTTAAAAGAAAGAGAAGTGGTAAATAAGATGGTTAGTATAATAAGTTCTATAAATATATACTCACTCTCCTATAAAGACACACACTACTGAAACTGAAACAAGAAGTAATAGAAAATTTAAATGAACCTAGAGCAAGTAAAGATTTTATTTTTTTAATTCTTTTTTTAAAGATTTATTTATGTATGCATACAAGAGCTGGGGTACAGGCCAGAGGTGTGGGGGGTGAGAGGATTCGCCAGATACAGAGTAGGGAACAGAACAGACAGATTGATGGAAGTACAATGCTGAGGGGAACAGCGGGCGAGTCAGGAGAGGTCTGCTGCACCATGTGGGTTGCTCCCTGGCCAGTGGGGGGATTGAACTTGTGCTGCAGTGGCTGTGGACAGCTTCATAGGTTCCGTCTTAACCCCTTGCACCACCAGGGAGACCCCAAGCAAGTAAAGATTTTAATTAATAAATTTAAAACTTCCCACAAGGGAAAAAAAAAATGCCCAATGACTTCATTGTTGAATTCTACCAAATGTTTAAAGAAGAATTAATACCACTCCTTTCCCAACTTATTCTCTCAGACTGTTATTTCTCTGATGAGAAAACCAAGCAAAAGATGTCACAAGAAAACAAATGTATAAACTAATAGCTTTTCCCAATATAGATGCAGATGTCTTCAACAGAATACTAGTAAACTGAATCCAGCAATATCTAAAAAGGATTATACACCATGACCAACGTGATTTATCTCAGAAATGGAATATTGGTTTAAACTTAGAAAACAACTTTTGTAATACATTATATTCACAGAACAAAGGTTAAGACCACATTATCATCTCAATAAATGTAGAAAAATCATTTGTAAAAGTTCAGATTCTTTTACGGGAGAACCCTCATCAAATTAGAAAGGGAAAGAAACTTTTCAACAAATTTCACTGCTATGTACTTAATATTTATGTCCATTTGAAAATCATTTTGAAGCCTAATTCCCACTGTTATGCTATTTTGAAGTGGGATCTGTGAGAAGTTACTAAATCATAAAGGATGAATCTTCATGAATGGGATTAGTGCTGTTCTAAGTAGAGACAGAAATGATAGTTTCATTCTCTCTGCTCACTCCCACATGAAGATATGAGAAGATGGCCATCTTCAAACTACACCAGACATGAGATCCACAAACATCTGATCTTGGAATTGCAATCTTTAGAATAGTAAGAAATACATATTTGTTTTTCAAGTCATTCAGTCTATGGTATGTTTATTATAGTACACCAAACTAATATAGCCATCTATGAAAACCCCACTGCCAACATCATACTTATTTGTGAAAGATTGAATGCTTTCACCCTAAGATATTTGAGTTTTCATCGTTTGGCATATGAACATTTCATTAATCACGTTTAAAAATAATCTAGTTCTTCCACCAATACCTTTATGCATTAAACTTTATCAGTTACCTGTTTTATCATTTCACTCCTTCCAACCTTTTCCAGAGACTTTCTCAGAATTACATTTTATTTTTAAATAAACATGATGGCGCCCTCCCTGGTGGCACAAGGGGTTAAGCACAGCACTATGAAGCTATCCACAGCCTCTGTAGCACGAGTTCAATCCCTGGCCGGCCAGGGAGCAACCCACATGGCACAGCAGACCTGTCCTGTCTCACCTGCTGCATGTCTCATCAGTGTATTTCAGTCAGTCTGCCTGTCCTGCTCCCCACTCTGCCTGTGGTGAATCCTCTCACCCCCTGCACCTCTGGCCTGTACCCCAGTTCGTGTATGCATAGATAAATCTAGAAAAAATAATAAAATAAATAAATAAGCATGATGATCTTATCTCTTAAGAGAAAAAGAATTTAAGATCTTATTTCTTCAGGTTTAAAATGTATCGTCAGAGTAATGTATATAATATCTTAATTTCACGTCTCAATCTCAGTATTCTTTATGTCTTTGTTTTTATTTGTTTTTTCATTATGTGTGCTATAGCAAGAATCTTTTTTCCAGATTTGAAACCTCGCCTTTTGCTTAGAAGGGATTTCGTGCTATTTACACATATTGTGTGGATTTATAATTTGGTTTTATTCTCTTAGTCTTACTTAGGATGTGAATGAAGGTTTTATTCTGCATGACTTGCCCTCTTGGATATAAGGATTCTCGCTTTAAAGATTATTTTGAGAGGATTCCAATTTTAAATTTCATATTCAGCAATATATGTTTAATTACTGGTGCTGATATAAATCTATTAAGCTAATTTCTTTTTTCCTTCCTTTACCTCCATGAAGACAAATTGAGTGGCAGCAATAATGCAAACAAAAGACAAAAAACTGCTCAAGACTTTCTTAACTCCATTGACCAAACAGGAGAACTCTTGGCAATGTTTGAAGATGATGAAGTCGATGAAGTTAAACAAGAGAGAATGGAGGTATAGTACATCTTCCCTTTTACAGTAGTATCAATAGAATAATCATGGCAGCACCTATGCTATGTGGGTCTACTCTTAAGTTCTTGAAATTTTGTCTGACCTGCACTAATCAGTGGTTTTATGTCTGAAAACAGTGTTATACACTGAGTAGCCCTGGAACGGATCTCACACTGAGTTGACCTTCAAGGATAGGTTAACCTTGAAGGATAACTTCAGCTTTCTGTTTCTCTTTTTCTGCCTTTGAACACAAGTAGATTTTCCTAACCCATTTTCTGAATCTTTCTTTTACTGATATTACTTTATTGCATAAAAGTTAACTTATAATTACTTATTTTTTTATTTCAAATCATCGAGTTGTCTTTGGGCAAAAGTAATCCTTGCTGTTTTTGTGTTGGCATATAGTGTGAAGAGCTATTTTTCAGGCTGTAATTACGGACTGTGGTTGGACTTACTAGGTAAGGTAGTATCCAGGGCAATTATATGCTTCATATCACTGTAACACAAAGTGAGTGACATGTGTTTGGATATCCTGAATGTGTTTTAACAATGAATATGAAAATAGTATGTCTTCTGTTTACCTTAGCTATCTCTACATAAAATTATTGTTTACTTAAATACTTCTGGAAAAATAAAAGTAATGATTAATTTCATTTGAGTGCTTTTCAAAATACAAAGCATTAATCTTATCATTCTTATTACTGTTACTACAATTTACATGTAAAAATCTCCATTTTCCCCGTCTCTTTAAATTGGTCGAGAGGGAATTCCAGAGCTCCAAAGAATCATGTTAAATGCCTATTTTACCATAGTCTCTCTGTTTGCTAAAAATGTAATTATTTCATGTTAAATTTTGGAGGAAGTCCAATACACATATATGCTTTGTAAACTTTAACAACCTTCTTTAAAGAATTAGTATTCTCAGATCATGAACTGTGATCTAAAGGCAGTGTTCTTCTTAGGTATCAATTACCTTAGAAATGTGTGGTTATCTTGGTTTGGGCAACTGCAAATGGTTTTAGTTCAACTTCGCCTTGGGCCAAAAACATGCTAAGTTGTCCAAAGCAGATGATAAACATATATTTCTGATGTCATTATGGCCTAAACAGGATATGATTGTTTAGTGGCATGGTTTTACTTATGATACATTACACAGAGAGCAAATATTGCTCATGCTTTATTTTTAAGACACTTTTATATCATACAAATGGGCATTAAGAAAAGACATTAAGGACTGACTATAAAACATTAGTAATATTGAACAAATAGCTTTTCAATTTTGATGAGAAAATCTTCTGGGCATGCCCATTGCCCAGAAAGGCATCATTTCACAGTCAAGGAAGAGAGAAGAAATGGAGTGTGCTATAACTGTAAACTCATACTAGCAGGCTCCTGTAGGCCTGGACAAATGATGAGTCAGTAAAGTATAAGTTAAAGTCAATAAAATATCTTGAAATGCAGAGTAATGAAAACTCAGGAACTTATGCAATTTATGTATGTATTACATAGTGGTAACCAGAATAATTTTATGTCAGTAATTGATAATAATCATTGCAATGAAAGTCAGCTTCATCAGCACAATAAAAATTGGATTGACAGTTTCCCAAAGCTTTATATCATAAATAGAATCTTCTCTAACACTAATCAAGAGTAGTTTTGAGATTCTACTCATCCAAATAACAGTTTAACTGAATAAAAAATGCTGAACTTGTAGACATAACTGTAGACAGTAGAAAGTGGAACCTTTAAGAGCATAGGCCTTGCCTGCTTCTAATTTGACAGGTTATAGTTTCAAGCGTAAACCACAACTGTAGCAGTCCATATGAAACCACTTTGGACTCACAGACTGCAATCTCTTGCTTTTAAAGTGCAGTAGAATAATCAGTCCTGGCATCACTCAGTGATTTAATTTTCCTCTAAGCATCACTTACTGTTGCAGAAACTCTATTTACTACCTTCTCCCATAGAATGTATGAGAATGGTATAAACCTACCAACAAAGCTTATTATTGTTTTTCTTGCTGGCTTGTTTGCTTTCCTTCCTTCCTCTGTCCTCTTCTCTTCCCTTCCTTCTATCTTCCTTTTTCATTTAAATAATAATTTAGAAGAGAAAAAAAAATTACAGTATAACAGGTATTAGTACCCGACTTTTCCTCAAAATCCCAAGCCAGCCTACAGAAGGCTGTGTTCTTCCCTATTGTTTTCATCTGATTTCTATATGTGCCTGGTTTTCACTTGTAATGTACACTTCATTATTATTAAGTATGATATGACTTGAAATGTTAAAATGTTGGGATTTTTCCACCCATATCTACTTGATAATCCATCACCAACTGAATTAACTCTGACCCTACTCCTTTTTCTCCCGCATTATTTTTCTAACACTTGTAGAAAAATAGAGATTTATGATCTATGATACTTGAAGATCCTTCTAAATTACTGAATAAAGATTAAATAATGTTCATAGTCACTTTAGTGTATTTGAGGTACTGGAAAAGAGAGCCAAGAAACAGTAAACTTAATAACACATAAAAATACATCTCTCATCAACTATCTCTTATTCCCACTTACCTACTCTCATAAGACACAAGTCTGTTTTCACTGTTCATCCTTTCTCTTACATTCTCACTTTTTGAGGTCTGGTCAACAAATATGGTTCTGTCACAAGGCCAAGAAGGGCCACTGAAAGCTACAAAGTAGATTTGGCTTTTCTTAACAGAGAAACTGTCATTCATACAAGAACTTTGCCTAAGTCCTAGCTACTCTTCTGCATTAGAGCCTGAGAAGCTCAAGTTTATCATTAGTCAAGTAAAATATCCTGTTTAATTGTCCAGGAGGCTTATGAAAAGATGTAAACAATGGTTGCTTAAAAAATTGGGTAAACACTACCTTCTGACTCTCTCTCTCTCTCTCTCTCTCTCTCTCTGTTGCTTTCTCTCTCTCTCACACACACACACACAAACACACAGAGACACATACATACACACATGCAACAAATTCCCAAACACACACATGTATAGAGCATATTCCCTTACCAAGGCAAAAAACAAAAACACCTTAAAAATAGTAACAGAGGTTAAGCAAACAAAACCCCAACTGATTGAAGAATTTTAAAGAAATATGAAATAATGACTGACAACAAATAAATACAAAATTACTGATAGACTATTTAGATAATAACAGCAATGAAAATAGTTCATATGAAATTTAATTATTATGGATAAAGCTTTATTTAAAAACAGAGGTAGCCTTTTAGCTTTTAAAACTTTCATCAATTTGTAAAAACTGAAAATAAATATCAGGTAAAACTGGAAATTTTGCATCACAATAAACAAAAAATAAGAAAAATGGAAACATAAATAAAACAAGAATTTTCCAGTTTAAGGAATTATTTGCAAAAATAAAAAATGGTGGAATGAGTCTATGACAAGTCTAAATAAGAAAAACAAAAAGACAACTGCTAAAAATTAGGGATGTATAAGAATTTAGTCAAGCTGAATAAATCAATTCTCATATAACTTTATTATTATGGTTGTGAATTTTGATGAAATGGGTGTTTTCTAAGAAGACATTAGTGATTAGTTTTACTCAGTAGAAGAAAGCCTGGATAAATCATGACCAAATATCACAATATAATCTTTTTTATGCCTATGGATGTGGTACTATTTAGCAGTTTATTTGCTAACTAAAAATTTATTATTTCATTAAATTTATATTTATTAACAAAATTTTAGCAATTTTAGTTTGGCAGTATATATAATGAGATAGGATTTTTTGAATGAGTTCAAAAGCTCCTTAGTATCAGAATATATATTGCTATCATATTCCAAGTAACTAGGTCCTATTTTCTCAATGACAAGGGAATATGTATATATTCCCCAAACACTAGGAAATTAGGAATGAAATATACCAGCATGCTTAGGGAGGTTGCTATCAGGTGATGAGACTACAAGTGAATGGAATATGTAAATTTATGTTGGTTTGATTTTGTATGTTTATCCTTTATCCTCTTAATTATCAAATGATTTCCTGTATTCTACAGTTTCTCTTTATGCTTTATTCTTTTTATTATCAGTAGCATTTAATTTACATGTAGTGCTGATGGACAGACTTTATGAGGCAAATTAAATGAACACCTATTATTTAATTGTGGAGTAGGAGAATATAACCTTGCGTAGTGTCATAAGACTCTATTTAGAACTCTATATAGTAATGTAAAAAGCAGTTTAAAATAGTTAACATTTTTTGCATGATGTTGTTGATTGCAAGGAACAAAATCCCATTTCAAATTGAATTAAGACATTGGGGAAATGTAAAGGTTTAGATAAATAAAAATCAGAGGTAAATTAAGCTTCAAATGAGGTTTGATACTGAGATTTAAAATGTGTCATTTCCTTATAATTCTCTTTTTCTTGCCTTTTTCTGTTTTTGTTGGCCTAATCTTTTACACTGACTAACCTCATAGGACACTAATGCTATAGAAGTTCCAGGTCCTGACAGAGAGATGCCTTTATGCCATTATTTACTCTGAAAACGCTTAAATCACAAGATTTCTAAAATCTTTCCCACCCACAGAAACTAAAAGAATGACATGTTCTGATTGACTCATCCTAAGTCACAAGCTCCATTCCTAAACTGAAGGTACAGTCAGCCTGTCACAAAAGCGTGGATTCCCTAGAACTTTAGGAAGAAGGAATGGATGCTGGTAAGGCAGCCATGAAGGTCCTTCAGTACAAAGAGCCTCTACATTATGCTCTCTTTATCTAAAACACATTACACTTGGCCCTCCACATAAATGGAGTGCAACCAACCACAGTTCAAACTATGAAATCATTCTTTAGGGAATATTCATAGAAATATCTCCGAAAAAATTTTCTGCCCAGGAAACTACAGAACAGGAGTATGCCATGACTTTAAGGTAGGTGTGATGTGTAGCTGTAAAACTGATATCCATTTGTGACTTTATAGATTTTAACAAATTGCTTTTAATCCATGTCTTTAATT